ATTTCGAGCGTGTAAAACCAAAGAAAATACAAATGAAACAAAAGATGATACAGACATGATACAGTACTATACAAATGATTGCAATAACAAAACGAAATATTTAATTAATAATTGAATAGTCTGTAGTATCATTGTCTGATATCAATAAACAACAAAGCTTTAGCTAATTACACGTCCGAAAAGAAGTTTACACTTATTTAATCCGACCCCTTTTTCTTTTTACATCTTCATATATGTTAAAATACAATATCAATGTATACTTTAACCTTGAATAATTGATATAATGATTCATATAATATATACAGGCAAGTTAGGAGAATGGTCTCTCTATATATATATATATGTACATACACAAATTCATACAAACACAAATTCATAAATAGAACACAAAACAGGAATATAAACAGTTATGGTTTAGCAGTGTCCTCCCTGTACCTTGTGAGAATTGTGTCTTTATACCTCTTTTTGTATAGCTTGATGTTTGGACATCCCTTTAGCTCCTCACTCACATTGTTCCAGATCTTCACCCCACAAACACAAACACGTCTCTTTGTTGTGCGCACCCTAACATTAGTGAATATAAATGAACCACGTAAATAATAATTCCCTTGTCTTTAATTGAACAATATCTGAATATTCCAGGTCATTGAACGTTGTTTGCCTTACACATGATTTATGCAATTTGGAATTCAACAAGATCTGACAGTTTTAATAATTGTAGCTCTAAGAATAATGGGTTTGTATGATCCCTATAGCCGACATTTTTAATAAGTCTTATTGCTCTTTTTTGTAGAATAAATAGGGATTGTGTTGTAGTTTTATAATTACTGCCCCAAACCTCTGCACAGTAACTTAAATAAGGTAACACCAATGAACAGTAAAGAATGTAGAGGGAATTTTGATCAAGAATCTGTTTTGCCTTGTTTAATATTGCAATACTTCTTGAGACTTTGGAATGAATATGTTTTATGTGGTTTCCAGCTCAGTTTCTCATCAATTGTGATTCCAAGGAATGTATGTTCTTTAACTCTCAATGAAAATCCCATCTATCTTAATGGATGCTAGTGTATTGCTATTTCCAAATATGATTAATGTTGTTTTATTCAAGTTTAATGATAACTTATTACTGTTTAGCCATAACTTTAGTTTGCATATTTCAGCTGTGATCTCTTCCAATAGTAGCTGTACATTGTCCTACTTCCATACTACTGATTTATTTCATGTTTCATGAGTCTGTGTTTACAATTTTCTACAATTTATACTATAAATGTAAAGTGTCTTTGAGTACAACTAAAAGCCCTTTTTAAATTAAATGTATTATTAATTATTATTATAACTAAAAATATGTCTCATATTGTGTTGTCCTGTCAGTAAGTGCTGTTGTCATCTTTGTTTGATAAAATAGCTACTTACAATTTATTATCAATATTAATACAATTAACAATATAGCATTATTAATATACGGATTATTCCTACTTTTACATTATCTTCACCATTTTCTACACATTTTCTTTGGGTACCATGTTGTCATCTTGTTTAGATAATATAATATATGTAAATTGCAGTACATTAACAAAATGAAAGACAGCTCACAGCTCAACCTTCTGTGTAAAACTCTTAATAACCTTTATTTACTACATTTGTATGGCACTTTCGCTGACTTTAAGGAACAAAGTCGTCTCTACTTGGGAAGATGAAGCTGCAGATGAGGGCAGAGTGAAGCAGCCTCTCAGAGAGGAGATGCTGGAAGTTAACTGCTGCTCTTGTTGTCTCATGAAAAACAAAGCGAGTGGACACAAGGTAACATGATGTCTAAACTGGCGGGCCTTGCCGGCTCTGTTTTGTCGCAACAACAACAAAAAGCCTCTCGCTGTGTGTCGTGAAGGCAACCGGGCCAGACAGCCACGCACGCGCACGGACCTGAAGTGGCATCAAGGCGCCATCCAGGCTCGTGTCACTGCCTGGCCCTGTGTGTTTCATCATGTGTGCGGAGAGGAAACAACAAACAGCACGCCTACCTACCCCTCCCACACTCACAAACACGCACGTAGACAGCGGCGGACCTGAAACACAACGACCTACCAGCACCTCTGGCCGGCTCCAGCCGCCGGGTAATTACACGCTAACAGCGGCTAACGTTACCTTGGTGAACGGCGACGCTGCAGCCGTGTCCATCACAGTAAACCAGGGGGTTCTCAGCCCAGCCTCGCTCGTCTGAACACACGCAGCAACCTCCAACCATTTCCCGCATGCTGCTCCCATACGAAGAAATGTATTTCCCCTCCCGGTAACGGCTCAGACCTCGCCCAGGCCTGTCAAGTGGTCCTCCCGCACTTTATCGCCGTGCCGGGCATAGTCGTGGGCTGCTTTCGTTGCGCACTTTTAGCGCAGCGGAGAGGCGAAATCTCGGCGTGGGGTTAGTGGTGCTGCTGCTACGTTTTTTCCGTGATGTCCTCCCCGTCCCCATAGAACCGATGCAGTGCGCATGCTCAGATCTGCTCCTGTGGTTCGGAATAAGTCACAGCAAAGGTAGCAAGTTATTGTTATTTTTTAACACGAACCTGTTTTTCAATTCATGTTTTAAGACTCTAACGTTATGTTTTGAATTGTAATCTATGTGACAATGTATCTTAAAGCCACTCATTTGTGAAATGGTTTCATGAATTAGATTAGTAAAACATGTGGATCCATCAGTCAAAACCGCTGGTTGAACTCTTGCTTCTCCATCACTTCTGTTTCAACAGCGCCATCTTCAGGTTTTACACAGGACAACAATTGCAAGCTATTTCACCATCCATGTCTTGACCTCAAATGAAAATGATTCTCTGCGAATGATAATGCTTTAACATTTCATTATACTTTATAATGATGTATGCTGTCTGCATTTGTCTTTTATTCTTTGTCTATCTGTAAATTATGTTTAACAACAGCCAAAATAATTCAAAACAAATAGATATTCAAGGACGAATAATTACAGAATGAAACTTTTATAACATTTGGTGTAACTTTGTGACGTACATAAACCAAGGAGCCCAACAAGAATTAAATATTTCTAAAATAAATTCTAATAATCCAACCAAAATATGAATACAGGACCCCTTGTTTATTTTTGAGTTGTCCCCACATTACTGTTAATTGGTTTTCCTGCACTTGAAGCTAATTTTGTGTGGCCAGATTTCCTTTGTTTTATTCAGTTATTATTGTCAATCTATAGCAAATGGTTTGTGTGCTATGTTGTAATTACTAAAATAATTAATAAATAATTAATTACAAAACAAATCAAATTGATTTTACAATCACATTGCACTTGTCCAGCTGATTAATGTTTTTCAAGGACCTTAACATTATTTGATTCATTGGTTGCTCTCAAAGTCAGTGTAATGGTGTATTGTTGTTCCAGTTAAATACATCAGTGTGGTTACCATGTATATAATTCAGTCAGCAGATGTCACCAGAAGTCTCTGATTTTGACTGGACTTCTGTCATTGTTGCTTTATGACTCCAGCTTCGCCTGGTTGAGTAAATTCTGTTACGCAGGACGGTTTTATGGTGGGAATCAGTCTGGGTAGAAATATGGCTTTCAATGATAGTCATATTTCCTATATGGTTTCTTTTATGTTCAGAGGTAAGGTTTATCCTCCTACAAAAGCTTAAACGTCCGCACTCTTACTCAACTCACTACTATTACTCAGAAGAAAGTAACCCTGAACCTTAGAATTGGAAAAAGAGAAGCAGTCCGAATGTTCTTTTGAAACGGATGACTAGGCTGTTTAATCTAGCGTAGGGACATGAAGCTGCGATGACAGTTTGCTTCAGAAGTGTCACTTCTCTTCAAACCCAAAGAGAAAAAAAAAGGGAACTGGCACTGATGGAGGGGACAGATAGCGACGGTGGTGGCAGCTGGATCAAGCTAACACCCTGTTCTGCTCTGAGGGCAGCTCAGCGTGACCAAGTCCCTGAAATGTGGGCGAAGAACATCCACACTCTCATGACACACACAGCCCACTGCAGCCACTGAGTGGGGAGGCTCGACCTGTTACACTTTTCCAACAGACACTCAGTTCAAAAATTCAATTTGACTGTGACTGTAAAATGTGTCGTTACATGTAAATTCCCATGTGTTGAATTTACTGGCATTACCATGTATTTTGTGGCTGAATTGACTGATTTTCGAACATTTTCTCTGAGTTTCTTTTAGTTAAAATATAATATATATATCAAGCTATTTATGATTTAGTCTGGGTCCCCCTTCTGCTTTTCTAAGGCCCTCCACTGGGTCCGAGAAACCATTTTAGGACCTACTGCTCTGGAGTGATACTGTGTAAGACCATCACTGCCATGCAGTACCAAACTTCCCCCAGCAGGTGTCCGCTGGTGTTTCATATGACCCACACATTCATTTCCTCAGCATCAGGGAAAAAGTGTTAAATCCTGTCATGAAATTAGGAGAAAGTCCCATCAAAAAGTCATTCAATATTTTTCTCTTATTTGTTAGTTTTAGGTTCATGCCAGTTTAGATACTGTAAAGGCTCATCTTCTTTGTTCCTGATTTCATATAAGATAATAAAGATATACATTTTTATATAAGAAGAACAGTTTCAATATGCATTCAGATGAATTATAAGTTGTTCAACAGCATGTCACATTTATTTTGGACCTGCCTCGACATTCAATCATTCATTTATCACCATCTATCTAAGAAGGACAGAAGTACCTTCTCAGATACATGTATTTGTGCTAAGTCCTATATATGTATACACCTCTATGTCGTGTGACAAAAACATCTCTGCAGAGCTGTGAGGCCTCTCTAACCTGTGGGAGTGTAAGATATTCAGGAGTGAAAACCAACACATGCAAAGCGTAGTGATGTCTTTGAAGCCGTGAACTGCACTCTAAACCACAGCCTGAAGGAGACATGTGACCTTCGAGATAATAGCACTTTTTTTCTCTTCTGCAGTCTTGAATTGACAAGTGTTAAAAAAAGAACGTCTCTCAGCAAGTCGCAGGTCTCTGTTTGATGAAGGGAAAGAGAGGTTATCTTTTATTGCTTTACACCTTAACACAAATAACAGGAGAAAACAACAGCAGATAAACAATAAATGCATTCTTTTTTGCTACTTTGTTAAATGTATATATGGCTACAGCAGGAATCAATAAGTACAAATATATAAAAATGTATGGTTAGAATTCCTCCTACGTAAACATTTACAGATCATCTTTTCAGATGAGTACGGTAGGACAAAGGAAATTCTGACACCCGTTACAAACCTATAACGTCTCTCTCAAATCTGTCTCACACCGAGAGACAGAGAGATGCTACGTCATGCTTTCATTCCTCATACTACCAGCTACTAATATGAGTAAATCTGGGTGTGCTAGTACATGGTTATCTGTCAGAGCGTGTGTGTGTGTAAGCGTGTGAATGACAGCTACTTGAGTTCGAGGCGGTGCTCCCCGCGGGCTATGTGGGAGGAGAACTCGTAACGGTCCCGGCTGCGGTGGCCACACACGTTGCACTCCAGCGGGTCCCTGAAGCCGTGGCAGCCCATGTGGATGGTGAACATGACGTAGTCCAGGAAGATCACCCTGCAGTGGCCGCAGGGGTACACCGCCCCGGGCAACGCACCCCCCTCCCCGTCCCCTCGCACCACCCGTAAGGCCTCCAGCGGCGACAGGGGGAGGGGTTGTGCGTGTGGGAGGCCGTTCTGATGGCTCAGCCCCCCCAGCAGGTGACCCAGGTTGTACATGACAGGCTGGTGCATCTGGGAGCCGTCGCTTTGGAACGAGTCCATGCCCACCTGGTGCTGGGAGGTGGGGGGGGGGGCCATCAGAGGCATGCCCATCTTGTGGCCGTTAGTGAGGCCCATGGGGCTCAGGCTGGATGGGGTAAGGGTCTGCGGGAGGGAGCCAGGTTGTTCTCTGGCCCTGTGAGGACGGCTTGTTGCTGATGGTGGGGGTCGGGCCCCGGGGAGCCTGGGGGGGGGCTCCTTGGCCTCAGTCCTGTAGACCAGCTCCCTGTTAAAGCTCAGGTCCAGACACACACCGCTGTCGCCTAGACCGGCAGAACAAAGGGCTCATTGGCACTACAGAACTACAGCACTACAGAACTACAGCACTACAGAACTACAGAACTACAGCACTACAGAACTACAGAACTACAGCACTACAGAACTACAGCACTACAGAACTACAGCACTACAGCACTACAGAACTACAGCACTACAGAACTACAGAACTACAGAACTACAGCACTACAGAACTACAGCACTACAGAACTACAGCACTACAGCACTACAGAACTACAGCACTACAGAACTACAGAACTACAGCACTACAGAACTACCACTGCACTAGAACTACAGGACTACAGAAACTACAGCACTACAGAACTACAGAACTACAGAACTACAAAACTACAGAACTACAGCACTTCACTATATATTTGTACTGTTGTCATATATTCATGTGTCCTGTCCAAATCAGTGTGGAGACAAATTCATATTATTTTACTGTTGAGCCTTTTTTTTTT